GTCAATATTATTTGAGTTACTGTGGTCATTAAATTTGACTATTGGTAGTTAAATCTCATAGATATTTCCCAGTATTGTATTTACCTTCTAAATTTTGAAGGTGGTTACCTATATATAGTTCTCAATGCACAGCTTTATATTATGTTAGTATTTGCATTCACTTGGGACCTGCTTTGAGGCATAACACACATTCCTAACCTGCCCCCTACTTTTTCCTGAAGAGCTTTGATAAGTAAAAGAATGCTTGAATTTACCAGCCAGAAAGATCTGGTTAATGTTAACTGCTATTGCAAGAAGCCGAGTTTTTGTCAAAAACTTTAGAAAGGTTAACCTAATTTACACAAAATACTAGCCGTATTATTAATTTATGTAATGGCATAAGAGTTAAGGGTTAAAATTCTGATTCCACTACTTAATAGCGGTGTCATCCTGAGCAAAGTACTTATCCTTTCAGTGGCTTACTTTCCTCATTTGTAACTAGGGATAGAATACCTAGATCATAAGGTTGCAAGAATTGAAATTGTTAATATACGTTAGGCATTCTGAACAGAACAGAGGTTCTATATGTTTCAGCTATTATTATTTACATTTAGATTGGTTTTTAGCTATTTTTTAGCTAATTACTAGATTAATTAATATTCAGGTTAGTTAAAATTTGAACATTTTAATTAGCCTGAGCAAAATGATGACAATGTTTAAATCTATCAGAGATATTAAAAAAAATAGTAGTTCTTGGGGCACCTGGGTGGCTCAGTCAGTTAAACGTCTGACTCTTTGTTTCAGCTCAGGTCATGATCTTAGGGTCCTGAGATCGAGCCCCCATGTAGGGCTCCTTGCTCAGCAGAGAGCCTGCTTTTCCCTCTCCCTCTGCCCCTCCCCCAGCTCACACACTCTCTCAAATAAATACATAAATGAAATCTAAAAAAATGGTAGGTCCTTGGATTTGCTTCATATTGTACATCAGAACCTATGTACTGGCATTGTTCAAGTAAGAAAGAAAGATTTATATTCTCAGGGTTAACTCAAATTGAAGATTGGTTCCTGTTTGCTCCAGAATAATTTTATGTGTAGACAAATGTATTTCCTAGAGACATATTTATCACAATAATTTGAAATAATGAAGGAAGATGCCATATGCATAATGTGAAAAAACTAAGAATAACAGCTTCCTTTAGTATGAAAATTAGACAAATGACTTTAATAGTTATTAGCATGCTGACTTACACAGGGAACCTTCAGCTTCAGATTATGTGGGACCGCAAATGGCTTTGTCCTCAGAGTCTTAAGGGCAGGATTCCTGCAAAGATGCTCCAACCAAACAGGTAGAGAAGGTAGCAATTTAATGTACAGTCTGGGCTGATTTGCAAACCACATACTCTAGATTTCAAATGAATTTTGTTTATCAAAGCCATTTACCCAGTGACATTCTTTAAAACTGGAGTTATAGTCTGGGAGAGTAGAATGAATAAGTAGAGTTAGACTTACTCAAGTTTCCCAAACATACCAGCTCAGTATCACTGGATTTCAGTGTTGGAGTAGGGATGGGGCAGCAATTCAGTCCTCTAGAGATACCAGTTTCTCTTCTGGGCAGTTTACATCAGCCTCATGGGCAGCAGAGAGAGAGACATCATTGAAAATAATAATTGCCAACACTGTGAGTCAGGTGACTGTATTAGTTTGCTAGGACTGCTGTAACAAAGTACCACAAACTGAGTAGCTTAAACAGTGATTTGTTGTCTCACAGTTCTGAAGGCTAGAAGTCTGAGATCAAGGTGTCAGCAGGGTCACATCCCCTCTGAAGGCACTAGGGAAGAATCTGTTTTAGGTCCTGGCTTCTGGTAGTTCTTTGCCTTGTGGCAGCATCTCTGTGCTCTTTGCATGGGGTTCTCCCTGTGTGTCTCTGTCTTCGTATGACCATCTTCCTATAAGGATACCAGTCAGATTAGATTAGGGATCCACACTACTCAAAGAACATTTCCAAGGACATATTTTGAGGTACTGGAGTGGGGGGGTTAGGACTTCATCATATGAATTAGAGGTGGGGGGCACAGTTCAAACCTAATAGTTAACTGGGTATTTTTATTGTCCTAGTTGGGAAACAGGTGAAAGTGAAGGGAGTACTGTTAATCATTGTTCTGGGATAACCAGCATAAACTGAGACTGCCTTAGGCAAACCTGAATATATGGTCACTGTCCCTATGAGATAGATACAATTTATCCCATTTTTCAGAGGTTCAGTGAGGTTGAATAACTTCCCCAGAGTTATAACTAGAAAGAGGACAAGTATTATTCAAATTCAGGACAATGAGATTCTAAAAAAAGGAGAAAAATCTATGCTTCTAATAAGAGAAAAGTTAACATTTTCATGTCTATAGAGAAAATTTCTATAATATGACACTAGGTAAGGTAGGGAATGAATTTGTTATGCTGCATTCTCTAAAATTCCTTAACTATATCTCTTTCCTTGCTTAATCAATTTAGCTATTATGAAAGAAAATAATAACCTGGTATATTATATTAGGCTTAATTAACATATAATTTACCTGATGACTGCGAGTCTTTGATTTTTGTTTCCTGGCTAGTCTATTGGTATTTGGAGAGCAAGAAAACACTTAAAGCTATACAAAGAGAATAGCCATGAATATTAAATTATTTTAGGCTTGCTAGAAAATTGTTGAAATGACTTTTTGTAAGTGTAAACCACTTTACTATTTTTGTCATGCTTTATTTGTAATCTAGATTTGATTTTTGATTGGCTTGTTAATAAACATTTTAGCATTATCTATCACTAAAGTAAGATAAATATTGAAAATCTAAAAGTTTACTTTGCTTTTCATACTTTATGAAGAAGGAAATAAAAAATTATCTGGAATTCTATGATGCAGGTGTTACCACCATCAGATTAGCGTTTTGCTGTATTCTTCAGTTCTTTTTTTGCAAGGGGGGTATGCATGGGAAAGGTTAGATGGTCAAGAACTCAGTAAATGATAGTTGTTGCTACTACTCCTTCTACTGCCGATGCTGTTGCTACTGCTATTGCTATTAATATTATTTTCATTTTTGTCATCATCATCAAGGAGAATTCTAGAAATAATCAGTATGACTTAGAGCCTAGATGCAGGGGGGAGTGAGTAAAAGGAAGTACGTTGGAGGGCTAAGTTTCTTATTTGGTAACTGGGTGAGTGTGGTATAACTAATCAGGACAGAATAAACAGGATACCCAGGATCAGAAGTTGAAGACATGAATTCAGAATGCTGTATTTGACTTGTTCATGGGCTATCCAAATGAAGATACCTGGTTGACATATGGCTATCTCAAGACCAGGTCTCAACAGAGAGATCTGCAATTAAGATAAATATATATTATCAACTTAGTGTTAAAATAAGATTATACTTTCATAGTTTTTTAGATAAATTGGACTCTACACCTTTAGTCTTCTGACAATAAAGACACCCATAGGGTCATAATTATAATAAGGCCAAAAATTCCAGGTCCACTTATCTAGTACAAAGGTTGATTTTTATCTCACAGAAGAAGTTGGCAAGTCTAGATAGTTCTTTAAAGAGTCCTGTTTCTGTTTGTACTGCCATTGTTACTTTATTATTTATTTATTTCCATTCTGGATTGTCATCATTTTACAGTGCCCACTTCAAGGGGAGAGTCCTGGGTGCTCCTTCTCAGGGAGAGGCTGGGAAAATGCGGCTGTGCTGGGGGCTCTGCTATATTCGCTCCCCTGTGATGTTACTGCTGAAAACACTCAGTTCATAGAGCAAGGCCCCTCAAGAATGTCGCTGTCATCTCATGACTAGGGAGAGGTCAAGGAAGACCGTGATGCCAAGTGACCATTGGAGCAACAAGGACTTCATTGTTGACCTGATAGGGGAGTTTGCTGGAATAATGCGAGTGATACCCGGATTGAAGGAGAATGAGAATCAAATGGGACACGAGGGAGTAAAGGACTAACTTGTGCTGCTTGTGAAAAGCCCTGTCCCTGAGGGAAAGGAAAGACAGATAGGACGTTTTACATTTGCAGAAGGCAAACATTATACTGTATCCATCTTTGATTGTAGGGTCTAGCATCCTCCCATGTAAGTGCATTGTTAAATGAGACAATAAAGAAGAAATAGTGATTTTGAGTTACTGTTCTTTCTACATAATTAGGCTTTGACTAGAGGGCAGCTTCAGATTCCTCCTGGAGACTAAATTTTGTCACATTTTTGTCATTTCACAGTAGAATTTTTTTTTTAATGTGATGTGTACGTTTACTTGTAAGTTTTTTTTTTTTAAATGGCTTGCTCTTTTCTAAATAATAACCTCTAGATGCAAGATACGCAGGTATAGCAGCAAGTATGGATCAATTATTAAACTACCAGTGGTTCTGTTTAACCTGTACCAATGTGTGAAATTCTTTTGAAACTCATCACCCCAACTGAGACAGAATATGAAGTCTTTCCTTGTTAAAACAATCAATAAATCAATTAAAGACCCCTATAATGAGTAGTACAGTGACAGAATGAATGGATTAATATAAAGTCCTTTTAAGGGATTCTTAAAATCAGAAGATTTAATTTGGGCTCAAGTAGTAAAAGGAATATGCTGGGGCACCTGGGTAGCTCAGTCGGTTAAGGGTCTGCCTTCGGCAGGTCATGATCCCAGGGTCCTGGGATCAAGCCCCATGTCAGGCTCCCTGCTTAGCAGGGGAGTCTGCTTCTCCCTCTGCCTCTCCCTCTGCCCCTGCTCGTGTGCCCTCTCTCACTCGCTCACTCTCAAATAAATAAAATCTTTTAAAAAAATAAAAATAAAAGGAATATGCAAGAAGCCTGCTGCTGGCCAATGTTGAAATGCTGGAAGTGCTCTGGGCTCAGTCCCTCTCCGCGGCTCAGTCCCTCTCCGCAGGAGGGGAAGGCACAGCCCATTGCCCTGCAGCGCCCATGGTGTGTCATCCCAGCTGTGCAGGGAGCCTCTTTTTGGCTGTGCAAAGAGCATACCTGGTGATTAGGATATGAGTTGGGGGAGTGATGGCAGTGCTTGCTTTGCTAGTTTACTTTTTTCTGACCTGGAGACTTCCTTTGCAGGTGAGCGTCCCTATCAATGCCCTTACTGTGAAAAAGGATTCAGTAAAAATGATGGACTGAAGATGCATATTCGTACTCACACCAGGGTAAGATTATATTCTGTCTCATTAATATTTATTATAAAACTATACTTAGTTTTTTTTGAAAAGATATTTAACTTGGCATGAGAAAGTAAAAGTGATGTATCTAAAATTATATGTTCATATTTAGGATGGACATTTGGGGACTAATTAAAAGAAAGACAAAACAATGAAAGAAACAAAAGTCCAAATTCCAAAAGGATCCCCATTCTTTGAATTAGGAATAAGTGCTCAGGAGTAGTAAGAATTATCAATGGCAAACTGCCAAATAAATAGATCACAACATTTTAGGACTAAAAAGTATAAAAGATGGGAGCGCCTGGGTGGCTCAGTTGGTTAAGCGACTGCCTTCGGCTCAGGTCATGATCCTGGAGTCCCTGGATCGAGTCCCGCATCGGGCTCCCTGCTCGGCGAGGAGTCTGCTTCTCCCTCTGACCCTCCCCCCTCTCATGTACTCTCTCTCTCTCTTTCATTCTCGCTCTCTCAAATAAAATAAATAAATCTTTAAAAAAAAAAAGTATAAAAGATGATGCCTTGCAGAGCATTTGCCAGTGATAGGAACATTCTTGAAGAGAGGCGTGTCTGTAAGCATGTGAACACTAATTAATACACATGAGCAAATACATTTGCAAGAAAGATGTTGAAAATAATGTAAGTTATTGGAAGGGACAGAAAACAGGAAAGGACAACTCACTGCTCCACAGGGTGCTGCCTGGTACTGCCTTCCATTCTTTTCCAAGGGTGCCCTGTGTTTTTTAGCTTGTCAACACCTGTCACTGCACTCTTGTCATTCTGTTACATACAGCTTTCCCAAACTCAAGCATCTGCCTCACCTGCTATATAAAAACCCGTGAGCAGCTCACCCTCCATCCAGCTACGTTTCTTAACCCACTGTTCTGTTTAGGGCACAATTAGATACTTTATATGAACTTTCCACTTGGAAATTTGATGTTTTAAATAGTTCTTGAATTTGCTTTACCTGTCTTTCCACTGTATTATCTCTCACACAGATCCTTTTCAGTCTGGCCTTTTAAAGGTGCTTATGGTCTGTACATAAATGACGTGTTTTTCCAGCTTTGAAGAGACCTGCTTAATCCCCTAAGAGCAATTCTAATTTCGGCCTTTCCTGGATTTCACTTTTTTACCTTAGCTATAAAATACAAACTTTAGAGAAAACACATAATAATAATATCCTTTCCAGTATAATAATATTCTAGCCTTCCACTTCAGTTCTGTAGGCCATAAAAGATACCCTCAGAGGTCCTGTTAAGAAAATCACTCTTCTTGTCTTTCTGGTGGAGGACAGAGGCAGCTTCTCTACTCATTAAAGCAAATCCATAGCAGTTCCCTTCTGGTTTATAACATCATATTTATATTATATGAATATTAGTAATTGGCATACTTACTGAGTATAAAATTACTTCATAAACAATAAAGGATTAGACAAATGACTGCCTATAATGATATGACTTAAATATTTATTTCACCATGAGCATTATTAAAGAGATTTAAGTTAGTTTTAGTTCAGCCTAAGAAGTTATCGTATGTGTGCAGTCTTCATAGTGATGTTAATAATGTGTTTTAAAGCTGCCAGCATACAAGGAACCCTGGTTCCTCTCAGTGAAACTACTGATGTTAACCAAAATCTGGGCATGATGGGTACATAACCATATTATTGCACTTGATTACGGATGATAGACATGATTATACCACAGAAGAAAATCACTGCAGGAAAAAAAATACCTTCTGGGTCCCCTTAAGAAAGTGATATTTCCAATTCGATTAGTTTTTTACTTTGTTTTAATATAAAGTTTATTAATGAGACCGATACAAATAGTTATAAAGACCACTAATCCCATGCCAGGTCTGGGCCTTCACATTTATTCATTTGAGAAGCCTTACAGAATTTAGATCTCATAACAACTTGTTAATGAATTTAAAAATTCTTTTAGGCCCCTATAAGGTAGATATTATTATGATCCCTTTTTTAAAAAATGAGAAACTGAGGCCCAAGCCAGTAAGGAGCAGAAATGAGATGGGAACCAAAGCAGATCGGCTGCAGAGCCGACCCCCTTACCTAGTACATACATCTGCCTTTTATTTACTTGAATATTTTGACTCTACCAGCTGATGTACTTTCTTGTATATTTTTAAACTAAACAAACTGCAGTAACGACTCCAAATTTAAAAGTCTCATGTTCATTTGAATACTTGAGCCTTGACTTGAGGATCCTGGAACTGGCTTGAGGTATCCAGGTGCAGGTGGTACCTTTTAGCAGCTCTCGAGCACTAACTGCAGGAAAAGAAAACAAATCCCAGCCTTTGATTAAGGGAGCATCCGACAGGGTCTCAACTAGAAGCACCCAGGATTTTAGACAGAATCCCATACAATTAGTGGAGTACTCAAGAGGAACAGGGTAAGTAAATCTAAGCCTCTCAGGTTTTGCCTCAAACTCTAATCCTTTTTCATGCATTATTTGTATTTTATCATAGACAGCTTTAGTTTTGAAATTATATTTCCTAAGCATTGAATAGATACAGATATTCTTTGCATATTAGTGCAACTTTCCAAAAGCTAATTATCAGCTAATGCAATCTAATTAATGTCAAGAACCAAAAGAGACTTTTAAAAAAAGTTCTAGAGGAATAATCTCTTCAAATTCATATTTTCCCCAATATTACTTGGATTTTATAGGACCAAATACAAAAACGATATCATTACATTTGGACCATAACACATTTCAGTTTCAGTTTTGTATTCACATTACGTTTAGTATTTAGATCATTCTAATTCCGGGCGATTTTGCCCTATCTCCAAAGATCATTTTAATTCTGTTACAACAACAACAAAAACTATACTATTCAGCGAGTTACATCTTTGATAAGTTTTGGTTAGTCTACACAAAATGCCATGCCATGCCTGCACCCTCAGATTCGCATTCTATGGTTACCGCATGGATGCCTTGGCGAGGGAACACAAAATCCTTTCATTCCGGTTATCGTTTATGTGGTCCAGTAAGGGCTGTAAATGTGGGAGACAATTTTGCTAGAATCTACATTTTGCTAAAAGGCTAAACAGTCATTGGTCTTTTATGGAGAGGCCACGGCTTAAGTCCAAGGCTTAATTTCCTTTTATCCATTTCCTTCAATGATTTATATATTCTCCTTATTTTTGGTTTTCAACACTGTTGTGCTAGATGTGTTTTTCTTTGTATCCATCCTGCTTGTATTGACAGTTTGTTATTAATAGCTATATTTTGGAAAATTCTCAGCTGTGTTTTAGAAATTATTTCTTTGTTTCCTTCCTTTCCTTCTTTTTCTTAAGGGATGTCGAGTACATGTGTTAGATTGTTTGATGTTGTTCCATAGCTCTTGGTAGTTCTTTTCTGGTTTCGTTTTGCTTTGGTTGCTTTTTGATTTTTAACCACAGTGTTTTTCTTCTTGTTGTTTGTGTTTCTAATTTCCACTCATATATTTTCAGTTTCACTGAATTGTTCCTCTTTTGTTCCCAGTCTGCCTATTGAAGGAGTTCATCTTTGATACCATGTTTTTCCCTTCTCATATTTCCATTTGGCTTTTAAAAAATCACTTCCATGTCTCTGTTAAGATTACCCATTTGTTCGTGCATGTTGTCCACCTTTTCACTGGATTTAAGATATTAAGATATTAATTATAGTTACTTTAAATTGTCTGATAGTTTCACCATCTGGGCCATCCTTTGATCTTTTTGTGTTGTCTATTCTGTCTGTTGATAATGGGTTTGGGGGAGTTGCTTTTTGTGTGTCACACAGAATTTTTATTCAATGCCTATTCCGTGTGTGAAAGAATGGTAGATACCAAGGTAAATGTTACTTATACCTGGAAATAGGTACACCTTTTTCTGCCAGGCCATTAATGTGAGGGGTTGAGCCAATCTAGTCAATAGTTGAACTAGCTTTGGGTTTTGTTGTTGCTATAGGTACCATAGGCTTTAAGCTTCTCCCGTGGTGGGCTGCTATTTCCATGTTCTTACTGGGAAGTCTGGGTGGTCAGGGGTTTTCTGCAGTAATTATCCTCTACCAAACAGACCCGGTTACTCAGCATGAGATGCGAGTGGGGCAGAGGGTTCTCTTGGTTCTCCTGTTCGAGCAATAGGGGGAGGCAAGTGCTATGTACCTGAGTCTCTGAAGTGGAACTTTCTCAGCATTCCTACTCTGAGCCTGTGGTGGGCAACTTCTGCCTCTGCCTTAGTTCAGGTCTAGAGCGGCAGTGTCCTAGGCACAAGGTACATGTGGCTATTATTAATTATAATTACAAGTAATTGGAATTTAATTACAATTAAGGCTGATTCATAGAACATGCAGCTTGTGGCTCTTGTATTGGACAGCACAGTTATAAAACATCTCTGTCATCCCAGAAAATTCCACAGCACAGGTCTAGAAGGGCAGGTGGCTGAACTTGGCCTTGTGTCAGTGGGGAGTTTGGGGTATAAGTGAGGTTGTCACTCCTCTTCTGGCAGCAGCAGACCTCTTCTACACGTCAGTGTGAGTCTTGGGCAAAAGCAGGTCCGAGAGCGCCTCCCCTTTGAGTCTCTGCAGGGTGCGGGGTGTGGGCAAGCTTCTCTTCTTCCCCAGAGGCAGAGCCCTTCACCTGGGACCAGGGTGTGCACGGGGTTCCTGCTTCACCCCCAGCAGGTGATGGCTTTTGCCTCCTGACAGAGATGAGATACAAGACACGGCTGAGACTGAAGGCATTTGTTTCCTGTGTCAGGAGGGTCTGTGGCCTTGTGCTTGTTCCCTGGTGGTGGCCAGTCACCACCTCATGGTCACGCAGGGACGAGAACACAGACGAGTGCCTTCTGGTGTGCCTGTTCCACCCTGAAACCTCGTCAGGCCCCCATAGCCTGCGTCATGATGGGGCTCTCCAGTCCTCCCCGCCTGCCCCTCATCTTTCTCACCAGCACCTGGGGAGCCAAGGGAAAAGAAGCTGTGAATGGTGTGGACTTCCAGTGTGCTTGGGTTCCCCCG